ACTGTGTGGCAGTAGGAGGGCACCAAAAGCTCTCTCCTAAAAGGACACCCTTCTGTGAATCTCTGGGAGACCCTGTCATGGGCAGGCCTTGCTAGCCCTCCACAATTCGCCCCCTCACAGGAGGCTTTATGGCTTTGGGCCCCTTTTGAGGAACGTGATGAAAAACTTGTTCTATCTTTCTCCCACCCTTATTTCCTCTGTCCTGTTTTTATTTCTCCATTAGCTTTGTCAAGAACCTCCCCCTTCCCATCCCATAGTTTCACACTCCTCTGTCTTCTGCCCAAAGACACCGGCTCACTAAGGCAGCGCCTTCCTTTGAGCCTCCTGGATGCTTCTGCCCCACCCCTCGATCCAGCCGCCCGCACAGCCCCGCCCCCTAGATCTCAGCCGCCTACTGGTACTTCCCAAGGCTCGGATCCCAACAGCAGCCCCAAAGCTTCCATCCTCTCTGCTGCATCTCCCCAGGAGCCTCCCATACATCTGCCCCCCAGTCCCATCCCCACATCTGCCCCCTACTGTCGCCATCTCTTGGCCTCGATCAACTCGCCCCCTATGCCTCCGCAGCAGCTTTTACCCCTGGCCCTCCTCCTACATCTGCCCCAACTACCAAATCCGACTTCTACCCCTGCGTCCCCGCCCCCTGCGCCTCGGCCCCCAACAGCTGCAATTCCCCTCGGCCCCACCCCTACATCTGCCCCGCGGCCCCGCCCCCGGAGCCCGGCCGCAGCCCGGTCCTCGCCCACAGCCACTTTGCTCCCACCCCCGGCAGCCAGTCTCCGCCACGTCTCCAGCCCCCACCCGAGCCCTCAGCACCCAGTCTCGGTCGCTTCCCTGACTCGGCGTACCGCCGGGCTCAGTCCAGATGGGGATGGGGGAGGGGGCCGGTACCTTTAATTCGCCCAGCTCCGCCATCTTGAGACATCGCAGGCGCCCGAGCCCGAGCCCGAGCTCAGGCCCAGGGACCGGCGCACAACTCTCCACCCCAGCGCCGGCCGCAAATGCCGCCTGCTCCGCCCCGTCCGGCCCCCTACACCTCCCCTTCCCGGCCCCGCCCGCCGGGCTCCGGACAGGCCCCAAGCCTCAGCCCCTCCCTCGACCGCCCGACCCGGCCCCTGCACGTCTTTGGCCCGGGTGCAAGACCGGAGGGAGTGTAGCCCGAAAGATCGCCGGGTTCCCGGGGGTAATGAAGAGGAGGCGGACCCGAAGTGCCTGGGGGAGGGGGCTTTGCCACGCCAGAGCTGGGAGGGGATGAGCTTTTAGGGAGCCAAAGATACTTGAAATATGGAGGGAAAGTATCGAAAACTGCTAAATCCAAGAGAAATGGGGGAGGGGTGGCGAAGTTGGAGCGAATACCGTCATCTTCTCTACAAGTTTAACCAGCTAAAGTCAAGAGTTCTACCAACTCGGGAATTGGGTGAGATCTGATCCATTTCAGAGAAGCTATGGAGTTGTGAATAGTTCATTTCAAGACGGCTATTCTCAATCCTTCGCCCCCGTTCCCACCCACCACCCTCCACCAAGCAACTACAGTGTTGCTCGTGGTCCCGCGGTAGGACTCCAACTCGGCAGCAAAAAAGTTTGGTGCGATGAGCGGGACTTACCAGCACGGTTGCAGGGAGCGGGGAGGGGGCTCGGGAGGCTCGGAGGGTGGGCTGGGGAGGTTAGGGGAGGGGGCCCGGCGCCGCTCCCGCCGTCTACAAGGCTGGAGGTCGGTCGGGGAGCTGGACGCTGCAGCCGCAGCTCCGCCCGGACGGGAGCTCCGCCCGGCCCCGCGCTGGGGCTGGGGCCTCCCCCTCCGGGGTGAGCCCGCCAGGACGGCCGCCACTGAGGGAGGGGGCGGAGTCTGAGGCGGGAGAAGAAGGGACTCGGAGCCCGGCGCTGAGCGATTAACTCCTCGAGTGAGCGGGTCAGAAGGGAGGAGGTTCTTGGATCTCATCATTCTCGCTATTGCTCTGACCCCTTGAGCTGGTGTACCGGCCTGGGGTGGAGTCATGCTGCAAATAAGGCCGGATGGACCGGGATCTGCCTACATAAAGAAGTTCCTACTTGGAATGAGACTCTTCTCCCTGGAGGAAAGCCTGGGCTGCTAGAATGCAAAGCGTACCTAAGCCCCAACTCTACCTGTGGTCCCTCACCCCCTACCCCAAATAGACCGTCACCAGAGACCCCACGCCTTTCGTGTAGCTGAAGGTGGACGGAGGAAAGGTTTTCTTACCCCCAAGAGTCATCTTTCTGCCCCTCTCTGAACGGCCTACCCTTCTTCCAAAGCCTTTGACCTTCCAGAGACCCCATTCTCAGCCAAGCTAATCACTCACATGCAGGTACCCTGAAAGCACCAGTTTTAGTTTACCCAAACTACACACTGGAAAAACTCAAAGCATTTTATAGTTAGTTGGCTGGGACTTAAGCAATAATGTCATTTGTTCAACAAACATTTGAATGCTGTTCAGAGATTGTTAGGTGCTGAGGACATAAAAGGCCTTGCAGGAGCTCTCAGTCTAGCAGCGGCAGCAAGACAGTTAAACCTATAATTGGCATAAGAATAATTAATAATAAATAGTATGAATAACCCTCTCATTTAGCTTAAACCTTCAGTATAATCCTTCCCATGAGACCCCATCCAAGCCACAAGAATGAAGGTACCAGCCTGGCATTATCCCCAGGTACCTGCTGAATTGGACCATGCCCAACTATGTGGATTGTGTCCCTGGGGAAGATGTGCACCTCTCCTGACACTCAGGTTCTTTCCCTGATGCTTTGCTGCCAGCAATGGTGGGACACAAGCTAAACTCAAGCTCAAGTATTAGGTCTAAATCCCAAATGCCCCCACCAATGCTTGAGTCTTCATCAGGCCCCGAGCTCATTTTTTTGTTCTGTTCAGCCCTCTGGGTCAAGAGTTACTATGGATTAGTTTGTATCTTCTAGAATTTTCAGTGATTTGGAGGTAAGGAGGATAGAGAGGATTAAAAAAAAAAAAGAAGGGGGGATACTCTGGGAGTGATAGACATGTTCATTATCTTGATTGTGTGATGGTTTTATGGGTATATACATATGTCAAAACTTATCAAAGTACATGCAGTTTATTGAATGTCAATTATTATAACTCATGAAAGCTGTAAAAATGTAAAAGAAGAAAAGAAAGTCAACCTCACCTTGAATCCTAGTGGTTTCATAAAGGAGGGATCTCCTTTAATAGTTAATTTGAGGTTGTAAGTTCCAGCATCCCTACAAGATAACCGAAAAGTAGGAAGCAGGGTGCCTGAATTTGATCCTGTATCCCAGCTCAGCAAGGACAAGAATCTTTTCTGTGATGCTCACTCTCTATCCCCAGTGCCTGGCCCATAGTAGACTCATTCGGTATCAGTTTAATGAATTAATATTATCAGACAAAGGAGGGAAACTACAAATCAAGACCAAGTTCTGATTGAAGGCATTCAAAGACATAGTCTGACCCCATCGTGGCGACCAAGCTTCACTTACTCTCATCCATATACTCCTACATGTGAAGCCTGAGGAACAAGGGGGAAGAGAAACAGGAGTAGGGAGTCCCTACCAAAGTCCCATTAGACGGACAGCCTAGGAAGAATGGGGAGAATAGTAGGACTAGAGTTACTTTAGGAAATAAAGATTTGTTTATGAAATCGAGGAAGATTTCAGGGCTTGGGGTTGTTGGGGTAAGAGTTTATGGGGTTGTATAGAGGGAGACTGGAAAGACCAGGGGCTGGGGAACGTTCCATCCTGTGTTAGCATTCACATCACTGAGCATTCCCGTAGCTCAGCCATCGTGGGATCAGCTTCCACTACCAAAGCTGCCTCCTGACTCACACTTGAACTTAGCCAAACAATCTCCCCCTGTGTGGACCCCTCTCTCTCAGCAGTTTTTTCATTCTTCCCACCCCACACTCCATAAATAATAAGGATTGCAACCGTCCTTTTATATTCTTTGGTGACTCGACGAACAAGAAGGAAAAGAGAGGTTCTGTTCCCCTTCATGGAAATGACTTAGATCCTTCTGATGCCCTTCCTCTGGCAGCGGTACCCTCTCTTTCACCATCAACCCCTCCGGTCTCCATTCTTCCTGCCTTAAAGCAGTCTTAGGCCCGTCCACACAAATTCCAAAGCTGACCCTCGTCTTCGCTAGGACGCAATCTACACAGCTGCTCTCTTCTGGGCCAAACCCCCCTGCAGCCCTGGGGTGCTCCCCTGTCTTCCGCGGCAGCCCCTCCCCACTCTCCTCTCAACCCAGTCTGGCTCTTTACCGCCAAACCGTGGCCTCCGACCCAGCAAAACCCAGAAGGGGGCGGGCTGGGAGAAGGAACCGGGAGGGATCCAAACCGCAGTTCCAGACTGGGGAGGAATTTGCTTCCTCTCTCTCACCTAGCAGTCTGGCTGGTGGAGGGACAGGAAGGGGAGGAGACCCATGGGAAGTGGCCAAGAGAGATACATTTTTTTTCAGTCTAACAGAACTGGAAGAAAGAAGCCATCTCTGAGTATCCCTTCCTCCCTTTCCCAGGAATCCGACTTTTCACCCCACTTTGTACCTGGGCAAAGAACACGGACCATGTGAGCCCTTGTGCCTCAGATCTAGATGCATGGTTTGACATACGATCAAATATTTTAGATTGTTCAGCTTGAAGGAAATCCAGGCCTCTCAATTTCTCCTCCTTAAAAAAGATTGTGGACGCAGGAATCGCAAGATAGAGAAAAAAGATTAGAGACAGATTTGAGAAAGAGACAGAGTGTCAATCTCCATTTTCACAGAGAGCTGTTTTTCAAACGTGGGTCTTGGCTCCTTAGTGGGTGTATTGTGAGCAATATCTTTTTCGGTGGAGTACAACAGCAGAGAATATCATCGAATGAAAATAGTAAGGGTAAATATCATTTCAGGTATATGCACTACGATATAAAGTGTATTTCTTACTGTGGATCATAATCAAAGTTTGAAAGCTGCTGACTTTTGGGGCCATTTGTGATCAAAAAGGAATGAGAATGAAAAAGATTCTTTCCCTCACTCCCCTTTAAGCAGAGAAAACCATGACACCCAACACCACACTGCCTCCTTTATTTCCATAGAGCTGGCCTCCATGTGCACCTCCTCTGGTCTCATCAGTGCTGATTCCAGGCTTCAGGTTCTCAGGTCTGGGGTCCATAATGTCAGGTGAAACCCCACGCCCCCATCCCCACCACCTGCCCCCCACCGCCCCGCCCTCCTCCACAGCCTGGTGGAGCCTCTGGCAACCAGGGACGCTCTTACTCCCTGAAAGAAGAAATTCAAGGGTGAAATGCACACACTTCCATCTCCTCGGCGTCCTCCCACCCAGGCCAAACCACGAAAGGGGATGTCATCCAGCTGGACAGGAAAAGACAGCCACGTGCTCAGGGGCAGCAAGAAGAGCCGGGGGTGACTACCCTCTGAATGAATGGTGTGTGAGTGAAGGAGAGAGTCTGGGCTTCATAGAGTCCCACCCTGGCAAACAACTTTTTACCACTCTGCCACCATGGCTGCCTCTAGCCTGGGCCTTAGGAGAGCTGTTCAGCAAGTCTTTTCAGTCCCCGTCATCCCACGTCAGCCCCCTTCAGTCTGCCTGCTCCCTGATTCCTGCCTCCACCCAGGGAATCCCCAGACTGTGTCTTCTCAACCGACCTCACTTCAGATGCTTCACGCCCCACAGGGCTCTCCAGGGTCAGCCCCCACCGCATGGGGCAAAAGGAGACTCCAAGCCCCATCCCTAAGCCTATTTTCCCAAGTCCTTTCTCCGGGCTCCTTCCCTCATCACCCTGACCCACAACTCACCGCAGAGAACTCGCACGTCCCTCAGGGCACCGGCTGCCTCACTCCGCCTGGATGCTGAGGATGCGCAGCAGGATATTGTACACGTCTTGTTCCATGTAGCCCTGTAAGTGGGAGGAAGGAAAGAACGGGAGATGAAGAACAGGAAATGAGGAGAGACAGGCAAGGGAACCTTCTGTGGTTTAGTGGAATGCTATTTCCCCTGTGCCCCGGTGTACAGTGTATGACTTCTCTACAGCTGTCTCCTAGTCTTTACAAGGAAGACAATGATGTCTACTTGCTGGGACTGCTCTGAGGGTTAAAAAACAATGAACATGAAGCAGAGCACTTGATAGACAACAAGTGTTCGATTCTTTGTAGTTATCATTCTTCCTAATAAAGGAGCAAGCCACCCATCTCTTCTTCCTCGGTGAGGGATAATTTGGCTCAGGATGAAACAGTAAAGGCGTAAGGGACAGGAAAAGGCCGTCCAGCGGACCAGGGATCTGACAAGGAAGGGCAAACAGCTCTCCCCCCTCACATTCATTGATCTATTGAATGAGATCCAGAGACCTGGCACTGGAACATCTAAAGTTCAGGTTTCCATGAAATGACAGGTATATTCAGGTAAGAGGAGGGATCCCAAACGCAACACCCCCCGCCCAGTGCGCTGTCTCTACCTCCTTCCGTGCTCACCTGAGCCGCATTCAGCAGATGGTTCCTATAGGTGGAGATGATCTCTTCGTGGTTCTTCTGGGAATCCTGGGAGTGAGCATCAATGAGAGATCATGTGCCCACCCTAGCACACCTACCCTGACACACACACACACCACCCCCCCAGCATGAGGAACAATAGAATGAAGTGGTCAGCTGCTGGTGGGGATGCAAACTGGTGCAGACACTCTGGAAAACAGTATGGAGGTTCCTGAAAAAGTTAAAAATAAAACCACCCTAGGACCCCGCAATCGCACTACTGGGTATTTATCCAAAGGATACAAACATAGTGATTCGAAGAGGCACATGCACCCCAATGTTTATAGCAGCAATGTCCACAATAGCCAAACTATGGAAAGAGCCCAGACGTCCATCCATCTACAGATGAATGGGTAAAGATGTGTGTTATATATATATATATACACATATATATAAAACAGAATATTACTCAGCCATCAAAAAGAATGAAATCTTGCCATTTGCGACAATGTGGATGGAACTAGAGGCTATTATGCTAAGCGAAATAAGTCATTCAGAGAAAGACAAGTATCGTATGATCTCACTGATATGAGGAATTTGAGAAACAAGACAGAGGATCATAGGGGAAGGGAAGGGAAAATAAAATAAGATAAATACAGAGAGGGAGGCAAACCATAAGAGACTCTTAACTGTAGGAAACAAACTGAGGGTTGCTGGAGGAGAGATGGGTGGGGGGATGGGGTAACTGGGTGATGAGCATTAAGGAGGGCACTTGATGGAATGAGCACTGGGTGTTCTATGCAACTGATGAATCACTAAATTCTACTCCTGAAACTAATAATACACTATATGTTAACTAAATTGAATTTAAGTAAAAATTTTAAAAAAAGAATGAAGTGGTCAGCTATGCCAGGTAGGCTCCCTTGGCCCACCACTGGCCCAGCCCGGACCACTGCCTGGCCAGGCCTCTACAATTCCCAGAATCTTTCCCACACACACATCACTTCCATTGGCCACCCTCTTCTCTAGCCGTGTCTATTTCCCCGAGGGCCAGAACATACCTGCAGCTGCAGGGCAAGGCGAGCATTTTCTCCCCGAACTGCTAAGACCTCCTCTGAAAGTTGCTCCAGCTTCTTCAACAATTCCTTGATCTGACGCCACAAGGAAAGAAAGGGAACCGATGAGGCCCAAGTCTTTTCCCACCCCAATACCACCCAGGGTCAAGGTCGGCTTCCTTTTAGTGGGTAATATATATGCCATACATATATACATATATGTAATATATGCCAGATATTTTTACACACATTGTCTCAATTAATACTCAAGACAGCTCTTCTTCTGTTCTGAGAAGAACAATGCTTCACTGAGGGAAGTATTAGTATCCACATTTTGTAGATAAGGAGACTGAGTTAAGTAACTTGTCAAAATCATGCAGCTAATAAGTAATGAAATAATGATCTGAACCAAGATCTCTTTGAAATCATGGTCCATGCTCTTAAGTCTGTAGTGGATCCTGACCTACTTGTGGCTCTGCTGACCACTGAGAAATAGAGATGGGTTTTGTTTTTGTGGTTTGTGAGGCTGAGGCACAAACTTGATTAATGATAACCAGCAGTAATAGGAATGGTGGCAGTAGGAATTTTAAAACTAGCTAACTTTTATTTATTGAGTTCTTACCATTTGCCAAAAATCAATTTGAGTATTTTAAATATAATTACGTCTTATTAACGTAATCTTCCTGACCAACCTATCATTATCCCCATATTATAGATGAGAAAACGTAGGCTTAGATGAGACTTGGAGGCTTTAGAGAACTCACGCAAGATCAAGCAGTAAGTTCTGAAACTGAATTTCAAATCCAAACAATGTCAGACTACACTATTTTCTTTTGCCCGTTTGTCTACCTCATCTTTTCCTTCAACACCAACACAAAATTCCTCCTTTCTTTAATTAGCCCCACCCCACACTGACTGCTATTCTGTGTAACATTCCTTCTATTTGCCTGCCCTCTATATTATGCAAAACATATACTCCCTATATTTTTAAATCATTCTACTTTTGACCATGTGCACAACTTTCAATAAGACATCTGATTTCATTCGTTTTATAGGTGGTTCTAAAATTACTAAATTCATTCGTCAATGGACTTCTGGAGCAGTCATTGGGAAGCTCAGGTTTCTAACACAGTGGTTTTCAAATGTTTTTATTTGCTTTGGGGTTCTCTTTGCCAATGGAAATCTTCTGTAGGACTCGCTGTCATTAGAGTGGGAGGGGAGAAGGGGAGCTACAGGCTAGTCTACTTTTCTAACCCCATCAGCCACCCCACCCCACCCACCCCCCAGTTACCTCTCCAGAACCCGAGCAAAACCCCAGGCACCCACCACATTATCAGGCCTCTTCCTGGGCTAGTGTACTTTTTAAGTGAACGTGCTAATAAACCATAGTACTCCAGGGCAGTAGCTAGCTAGCTCGGACCACACTGCTTCTGAACCCTGAATCCCAAATCGTAATACTTAAGCGCCTTTCTCTCTTCTGTTTACCCCTTAGCCTCACCTCCGATCTCAACCCCAAATCCCCGAGACCGGGGAGTGGTGATGGTCCTTGCACACAGTGGTCCTCGCCAATGACTGCCGCTCTGTTAAAGGTATTAAGCTGACTAAACGAAGATCGATGCAGGTGAGCAACCCCCTAAACGCCCGGACACTTTCCCCGCTGGCTGCCTGGCCGGCTCACCTTGGCCTCTTTGTCTCGGCAAGCCGCGATGAGGTGGTCCACCTTGTCTTTGAACTGCTCGGCGGTCTTCTCAAACTGCTGGGAGCGCGCGCGCATCTCGGCGGCCTGGCGCTCCTGCTCGGCCGCGCGCGCCGCCAGGTCCCCGCTGCGGCGGCGCTCCTCAGCCACGGCCTCGCGCAGCCCCCCCATCTCCCGGCACGCCGCGTTGTACTTCTCCAGCAGAGCCTTCAGCTCCTGGCCCCAAGCCTGGGCCTGGGCCACCAGCGAGCCCCGAGTTTTCTCGTGCTGCCGCAGGCCGGCCGCCTCCCGGGCGCGCAGCTCGGCCACTTCCTCGGTGGCCTGGTAGAGCAGCTGCTTCAGCTTCGCGATCTCCTGGCTCTTCCCGCTCATCGTGGCCTGGACGGCCCGCAGCTCTTCCTCCAGCTTCCCCAGGTCTTGCTCCAGAGCGGCCACCTGGGGGGGTGCTGGGGCCTCCGACAAGGTGCCCGGCTGCCCGCGTGGGGCGGGGGGCCCCCGCAGCTGCTGGTTCTCCTCCTCCAGGCGAGCCAGCGCCTTCCGGGCCTCGCGGTGCCGCTCCACCAGGGCGCCGATGCCGGCCTGCAGCTCCTCCAGGCGCTCCGCCGCCGCGCGCCCCGCGCCCGCCTTGCCCACCAGGTCTGGCGGCAGGGAGTCCCACAGCCCTTGGAGGCCACTGCTCTGGGAGGCCAGGCGCTTCCGCAGCTTCTCGGTGGCCTCCTTCTCCATGGCCAGCTCATCCATCAGCAGCCCCACACTCCGCCGCAGCTGCTGCAGCTGGACCTGCGCCTCTGGCTTGGGAACGAAATCCCGCTGTAGCCGCTGGCTCAGGGACTGCAGCTCCCCCTGCAACCGCTGCCTCTCCTGCCCCAGCTCTCCCAGCTCCTCCAGCAAGTTACCGTTGCTCCGCCTCAGGGCTGCGACCTCCTTCTCCAGCTGTCCCTTTGCCGGACCTCCTCCGGGCATCCGTTCCCCTCCAGGGGCCCCCAGAGGCTCTCCGCGGGCCCCAGGAGCCCTCTTCTCTCTCCCTTCATTCTCTCTGGGGATGGTCGCTGGGCCTGCCTTTGGGGCTCCCTGTCGGGGCTCCTGGGCAGGGGCCTGTAATCCTGCCTTTGCCCGATCCAGCCTCACCAGCACCTGCTCCAGCCTGGCCTCCATCTTCTCCCAGGCAGCTGCTGCCGCCTCAGCCCGCGGCGTCCCCAGAGCCCCCTCCAGGACGGGTCTGGACAAAGCCCCCCAGGCAGCATCCTTTTCTCGCCACACGGCAGCCAGCTCCTCACTCAGTTGTAGCAGGAGCCCGGTTGTGGCTGCCCCCGGCTCAGCCACTGCTCCCATCGGGTCAGCCCCTGGCGCCTGGGGCCTCTCTTTCTGACCGGCTGGTGGCTTGTCAGTATGCTCAGGCCCTGGGGCCTGTCCCCCGCTGCTGCTCAGCGGCTGTCCTGTGGCTCTCCCAGCGGTCTCACACCTTGGGCTCTGGGGTGCCTCTTGGTCTTCTGGCTGGAACCTTCCACGGCCTTCATGCTGAGTCGCCCGTGAGACTGAATCCTCAGCCTTCTTAGACTCTGATACCAGCCTGGCTGCCCACTGCTGCTTCCTTAGCTCTTGAATGCGCTCGGCCAGCAGGCCCAGGGGACAGCCCTGCTCCATGCCGTCTCCCCCGAGCCGGGCCCTAGAGCCCTGCCCTCCCGGAGCTCCAGGCTCTTGAGACAGGAGGAGCCACAGCTCCTGCACCTGCTCTCGGATCTGGTTCTCCAGGCCCAGGTAGGCTGCGGCTTGAGACTTCGCCTCTTCAGTCTTTCGTACCAGCTCCTGCTCCAACTGAGAAACCTTCCTCTGCTCCTCTTCATACCTCCACTTCCACTCATCTGAGCATGGGTCTTCCTCTTCCTCTTCCTCCTCCTCCTCCTGGGGCTCAGCTCTCCCCGGGCTCTTAGGTGGAGAACCCACCCGAGGCTCAGCTGGAGAGGCCTACATAGAAAAAGGAACAGTGAACAAAAGGCAGGCAGCTAGCCTAGCCCCAGGGAGGCCTTTCTTCTCTCAGACTCTCTTGAAGCCCCCAAGGATCACTACCTGGGGGAGACCCCGGTGGGACAGCCTGGGGTGGGGCAGAAGCAACAGGCACATAGCGGCTCACCTGGGAGGCAAGATCTGGATGTTGAACAAGCCCCTGACCTATATGAAAGAAACATGGGGAAAACACTTTATCTTCAGACTTTTTCTGAGAGGAACAGTCCCCCAGTGTGATGACCCTTCCCACACATGTCTTTGTGGTGCCGGGAGCCACCCCTGTTGAATGGGTCCCCAAGGATCTAGCATCCTTGGTTCCCTTATCCCAGAGATGGGCCGGCTCATTCATGTTGTTTGCTCACTCATTTGTTGGACACTGTGCCAGGCATTGGTGGGCACCAGGACCTCAGTGGTGAGCAAAACAGCAGTGGCCTGTCACCTGAGGGGTTTCCAGTCTAGTAGGGGAGATGGAGAGTGACCAGCAAACCATACAAATAGATACACAATTACCGCTCGCAAATGCTAGCTAGCAGTAGTATGAGCCAGAGTTGCCTTCAGGGGGAGACAAGGCTGCTTTAAGGCATTTTGTGACCAGGCTTTTGGGAATTTGGGGCCATTTCCCAGTAGCAGCAATAAATAAGTTAAACTCTCAACTAAAGTGACAATTATTTGTCAGAGGGATTATTTTTTATGGGAATAAAAGGCATTCTAAGAAGCTTCTTGGATCTTAAGGCTATCAAGGAGAATTTTGAAGTCACAAAAGGGACTGGGCTTTACCTCCCCGCTGCCCCCGCCGGTTCAGAGCCTGCCGCAGTAGCCGGCACAGCACCCCGTCTTGTGTGCGGAGAGCATAATGCAGAGCGTCGTGCCCCATGCTGTCCGCTGCCCCTGCATCCGCTCCGTGGCTCAGGAGCAGTTCGGCCACCTCCGCGCTGCCTTTCTCACAGGCCAGGATCAGAGCCGATCTGTGGGTTGGGACAAATCTGGGCATAGGCTTTCCCCCCCCCAGAAATCCAGCAGTCCTGCTTCCAGAAATCCCACTCACAGAGCCAGATCTCACTCCATGTGGCGAGGAGAACCACAGAACCACGCCAGCCAACGGCAGAGCATTAGACCAGACCAGAACTTTTCAAATGCCCTGCCTTGGAGCTGCAACATCAGAAAGCCGGGGGCCAAGTAAAAGGGCTCTCTTTTCATCTTTTACATATTGAGGTTCTGCATAAATTCTTTATTGGAAAAAGGATTCCATTGCTTAGAAGATAGTTTGAAAACCAGTAAACTGAACTAATGGATCCAGAAGTATTGATTCTACTTCCAGAGTCATCTATGCTGGGAAGATGGTGGTGGGAGCAGCCGAATAGGAAAGTCTAAGGAAAACTTTCTCAACTCCGCGAGAGGAAAAGTGCAAAGTAGCAGGCAGCTCTTCCAAACAACTGCTTGGAAGGAAGGAGGTTCCCAAGAAAACAGAAACCAATCTTTCTTCCGCAAAACACACACACACACACACACACACACACGTGCGCACCCATACGCACGCACACACTTGCCCAGTGGCTCATTTCTAGAGTGGTCAATGTCTGGCTTTGGGCTGGGGAGATGGGAAGGCTCACTTGTCGTCCTTGTCTGTGACATTAACTCGGGCACCTCTCTGCAGTAGCTGTGAGCAGATAGCTGTGTGACCACCCAGCGAGGCAATCATCAGGGGTGTCCGTCCGTCCTGCACAGATTGTGGGAAGGGAGTTCATGAGGAGCCAGGGGGAGCCAGGGGCTTGACCATTCTACCAACTGCCCTCTTCTGACACCTCTTCAGAAAAAAAGCCCAGATCCAGGGGCTAAATGCTGTTTTCTGAAAAGTTCAAAGCTCTCCAGAAGATAAGGCCTAACCTCTCCGTGAGGAAAAGGAGGGGGAGCAGGGGGAAGAAGAAAGAGGGGGTGTGCACAACCCCCGGGCCCAGAGCTTAGCCAGTCAAGCTCAGAGAGAGCAACAGCCTCCCCGGGCAGGGCCCTGCCCAGCTGACACTCACGTTATCTAGGACATCCAGGAAGGCTTCATGGTCACACAGCAGGAGCACACTTGAGGCACAGGCAGAGGAGGCTGGGAGGGTTGAGGGATGATAGGGTTAAGGAGAAGCAGGAAGGACATCTAGTCAGACTATGACCCAGCATTCCCTCCAACCATTTCAGCAGTCAGCCCTGGCTTGCCCTGCTCTCCAAACGTCATCCTCCCCTCCCTTTCCGCCCCATGGTCCCTGCAGCCCTGTGTCCCAGCGGTCCCCTGGCACACACCTGCCCAGTGCAACGGACTACGATTTTCTGCATCCACAGCATCTTCATTGGCGCCATGCTGCAAACAGCCACAAAGGGAAGCAGCATGGGGCATGGTGGTCCGGTCCTTATCCCATCCCCCCTCGCTGCTGGCTCACCAGCCTCCACAGTACTACAGGGAAGGGAAGGAGGGCCGTGGCTCTGGCTAACTACTAGGCAAGCCCAGTCCACTCCTTGCAGATGATAGGCAGCCTTGAATTTCAGCCCCTGTTCTTAAACCTAGGGCCTAAGAAAAATCAGATTATAGACAAATAAGCATGTTAGGGAAAGTGACACCTGAGTCCAGGCGTGGTACTTTAGGATACGAATTGGGGAACTTGGAAAGGTCCGGGAAGAACAAAAGCAGAACAGCCCTTTGCCCAGTGGCCTGTTGAACGGTGCCTTTTGTGCATTTGGAGACCGGTTTATAGATTGCCTGCATGTCATTTCACATATATATTTCTCTTAGTGCTCCTAGACTGCAAGCTCCTTAAAAGCAGACAGTGGAAGTCTGCATTAATTTGAACACCTCTGGCCTCCTTCCACCTGCCCAGCCACTCAGCACTTGGTCCGCGTAGGGGCTCTGCCAAAGGCATATGGATGACTGGCCGGCAGTCCCCAGGAGCTCTGCTTTATGACCTGCCCTCAAGGGCTACCTTAAGCGTGGTATCCGCACATAGTAGGTGTTACATAAATGTCTGTGAATTGATGAGTACAGGATTACCACCTCTCTTACTGGGGATGAGAGCGGTCCATCTGACCAAAGGTTGCATGTGACTACAAAACCAAGTTAGAAGATTCTGGGCCCCCTTCTTCCCTTCACGAAAGCAGTAGGGAGAGGTTGCTCTTACCTGCAGCAGGACTTTGACACATTGTGGCTGGCAAGAGATGGTGGCCAGGTGCAGGGCAGTGCTTCCTGGAAAGAGAAAGAGGGGGAGATGGAAGGTGGGTGGCCCCATGCATGCCGGTGACTCACAGGGAGGGAAGGCAAGAGACGCACAGATAATCAGGAGGAGATTAGAGAGAGAAGCTCTCAGCCCCACGGGGCCAGAAATTCCTGTTCCCCGAGTGCCTGGTACCTGCAGTAGAGGTGGGAACAGAGGTGAGGTCAAGCCAGCTTGCAGGGAGGGGAGCCCTAGAAGGATGCTGGCCAGACCTGATGAGGAGAGAAGTGGGGGGCTACAGCTGGAACCTCCAGGAGCTGGCCCCCACCACGGCTGCTATAAAGGGAGAGGCCCGCCACGGGGCCCAGCGCGCAGGCTAACTCACCGTCCTCATTCTTGCTGTTGATGTCAGCCCCGTTTGCCAGCAGTATAGTTAGACATTCTGTCAGGCCTTTGGAGGCTGCCAAATGGAACCTGCCAGAATCAAGGCCAAGGAGCAGAAGGATGAGGGGACCAGGAGATGAGGGATACGAGAATCTTCATAAGCACTGCCTGCTATGCTCCTTCACCCCAAAGCCAATCCCAAAAGCAGACAAGGAATTTCCCCTAGTCTGACTTCCTGAGGAAAAGGCTCTGTGGCTTACTGTCACAAAGCCAGAGGAGGCTGGAAACAAAGACAGAAATAAGAGCTACGCAGGTCTCAAGCAACCTAGACTATTGCACGGGTGTCCACGGAACACATAACTACCTGTTGCTCTCACCACAGGACCCTTAACAGACTGGACTGTCATAGGAGGAGGCAGCCAGAGCAGAGCAGAGGGCTGGACATTGGAGGGGACAAGGGAAAATATCTGTCTCGTCCTAATCACTCCGTCTAGCCCTGTGATGCTCATGGCCACTCCCACTTTGTTCCTAACTTCCCAAACTACACACCCTCCTACTTGTGCAATAAATAAACACTGTATTTAGTGAATGTACCAGTTTTCTGTTTGTTTCATGGGCTTTATGTCCTTTTTTTTTTTTTTTTGCCAGTTTTGTCAATCTGGGCTGTGAGACGGGTCAGACTAAGAGACAATATCTCTTCCCTCACTGTGTGCAGCACTTGATACGTAGCAAACACTGATGGATACGCTTGCAGATTAAGACAAAAAGGGCTCTGGGGTTGTAGGCCTGCCCAGTCCTACCTTATATTGGGATTTAAGGCTTTTAATGGGAACCACATATCTGGGGGGGGCTTGGGAGGGCTCACTTACGGGGACTGGCCGTTTGAGTTCAGCTTGGTGGGTCGGGCCAACTTCCTCGAGGCCAGGGCCGCCACGCGCCCCACATCCCCCCGCTGCACCGCCTCCAGCAGCTTCTGATCACGGCGGTTCCATCTCTCCACCTGGTCCAGGCCATAGGTTGTGTGAACACAGGAGGCGGGGTTGGGGTGGAAAAAGGAAGGAAGGAGATGGTCAGGAAGCCCAGCAGGGGAAAAGGGACATCCGTATGCCACTGAGAAACTACCGCTGGTTATTGTCAGTCCTGGATCAAAAGGTCCTTGGACTCCTGGATTAAAAATCATGTTCTAGTACTGAATGCACGGTATCTTAGATGTCCTTTTTTTTTTTTTTAAATCATCATGTGATTATTGTTGTTAGGTGCACAAGCTCAGAGCAATCCTAGCCATGACGCCTTTCCCTTTTGCTCTCTAGGTCTTGCTGGAGCAAACTGAGCCACACTGACCACTCCCAATTGGGCTCACATTACCTCTCACCTCCCCAGGCTGCTCTGCTTCTTGTCCTCGGATTTATGAGAAATCAAGGCTCCTAGCTTCGCATTACAGCTAGGAGTCCAAATACCCAGCCATACCATCTCTGCCTTTTGGCTTTGGGCCCCAAAACTAGGAGGGGAAGCAGAGTTTCTGTTTTCCCATCTCGGGTCTATGCCCTTTAGCTGGTTGGCCTTCCCTTTCCAAGGCACAACCACCTAAAGGCAAAGATAGGTCTCTAGCTAGGCCTGCAGAGGCAGAAAGAGGCAGCTCCCCTGTTCCTGCCTCCCCTGCCCTCCTTCCTCTTTTCCCTGCCAGGGAGCAGCTGTCCCAGGCAAAAGCCACACCCGGGCATGCATTGTTCTATCATTCCAGCTTGACTTCGGTGGGGGGTGGGGGGGTGGGGGGGGTAATTACAATAATTGAGGTATCACAGGGCTTGAAAGAGGGCTGTGTAAAAACACCCAGGGCTGGAAAGTACAGAACGGCCTGGTTGGCTCCAGAGAGGGGAAGGGAAAGGAAGAAGGGATGCAAAAGTCTGTAGGATGGTGAAAAGGGTCCTGAATGGCTATTATGTCAGCAGGCCTGAGTTCAGGGCCTGGGTCAGGTACTTTCTCAGCTCTGTGACCCAGGGTAAGCAATTGAACACCTCTGTGTCCTCATCTCTAACGTGGGAAATAATAACTACCTCGTCACGTTGTGAGCATTAAATGAGCTAACCTCATATAAGGTATATAAACTCTCTTCGTAAACTGGAAAAAGCCATACAAGTGTGTGGTATTCTTATAGCTGAACAGGAAGTGGTGAAGGATTGGTGGTGGCACTTTACGTTTTATGAGGTGTAATCTCCACAAGAAAGAGGCTTTGGGAGGAGGTGGAAAAAAATAGGGTCTATGGAAAAATAGTGTCAAATAACTAATTTTCAAATACTGTTTACCTAGCCAGGGCAAATCATGTAGCAAAAACAGGGAATATTTGAAATGCCCAAGCCATAAAATGATCTGGGGCTAGATGGATTCTAAGGTAATACTTGTAATTCTTCACAGCCGTTTCCAGTGCTATTTCAATTAGCCTCTCAACATCCCTGGAAAGGAGTTGGGGCTGATATTATTGGATCTATTTGAAAGCAGAAGAAACTGAAGCACACTGAGGTTGGATAACTGTCCGGGGTCACACCACAAAATAGGGGCAAAATTGAGATTAGAACCCCGGCAACCTGGCGCCCAGTCCCAGTTCGCACCACCAGACCACACACACTACTACAGAGCTCTGGAAGAAGGTTTACTTATTACCATGTAAACAGTCTAAGAATGCCTCCAGGCCAAAGCCACCCACCCCCAGACGCTACTCCTTGCACAGAGAAGAGTCTCCAAACAGGTTAACTCTGAAAGGACAAAATAAGCCAAATGACTGCTCCATAACCCAAACAGACTCTGGGATCTAGGAACATGTCATCCCATGTCCCTTGGGGACCAGTTACCCTCAGAAGAAGCAGGAAGCTACAATTATGCCTCCACCACAGGACACTGCCATCAGCTGACCTCAATCTGAAATTCTCTGTTCAAAATCCGGATTCTAACACTTCCTACCCTTGTGAATTTCGGCATGTTACAACTTCTCTGAACCTCAGGTCCCTAATGATAAAACAGGCCACAAAGCACCTAACATTGTCTGCCACATAGTCAGTGCACAATCCCCATCCTTCCCAGCCTTGCTGGGCACATTTTGGATGTGCCAGCAATTCTGGGTTCAGAATTCTCCACACAGGGGTGTGAGAGGAAGGGATCTTGCTCGTATCAGCCAACGTATAACAGCCAGGCTGTAGAGACAGTAAAGGTGCTTCTTAGCAATGAAGATACTTTTCTTTCTGGCTAGACAGCTCTAAATCCGCCTGATGTATTTCCCATAATCTTGTTCTACTAAGAGGAATTTCGAATAGGTGGAAATTCGTCACGGCCAAAGCTCTGCAGAGCTAGGGTGAAGAAGGACAGAGGGATGCTTCCAAACTCCAAGATCCATCCATTGCTCATCCCAGCACCTCAGAAAAGAGGCGCTGGATTACCATCACAGCCTCCGGGGAGCAATCACCACATTAATCAGCAGACTCAAAAACAAGGATAAGCTTTGTATTTCTGTAGCCAAGACTAGGGGGCTTTTGTAGAACTAATTGCAGCCTCTCCTAATCTCTGGCTGTGTGCCTATAAGCATCCTATTGAGATGGAACACACCAACAGTAGAAAGAGAAAGAGTGAATACAGTTGTAGGACAGGTGAACGGAAACAGAAAGGCTGCTGTAGAGGAACCAGGAGCTGACTCTCAGGTTTTTAGTTTTTTGGGTTTTTTTTTTTAATGCAACTGACATTCCTCTAAGCTGATTCAAGTGCCAAATGTTTAAAGCTATTTTCTGGTCCACTTCCTACATAGGTAGAGTAAGCTAATATGTAAGACACCCTCAAAGGCATCCTCTATTTGACTAAAATAAAATGAGATCGTAAGAGCTGTGTGTGTGTGTGTGTGTGTGTGTCTTCCTATATTCTGGATAACTTAGATTAGTTTGAAAATGATCACTGACCTGTCAGTCCTGAACTCAATGGAAGGACGCAGGGCTCTGGCCCTGGACCCATGGGGGGGAGTAGAGACAGGCAGGGGCAATCCTCTGGCATGACTGGGAAGCCAGGCTTTGGGAGTGGCCAAGAAGGCTGTCACACTATTTCTCTGACAAACGGGTTCAGAGTGGTTAGCCACCCAGGGAGTGGAGGAATTTATCATAAGGGTGAGGAAGTTTCGGGAGGAAACAATTTGCAGCTGACACTGGCCTATTTTTAAGTTCCTTTCTATCCCATCCTGACTGAGAAAACAGTTTTCTTTCCAACTAGATAGTTCTAAATCCACCTGATTTACTTCCTATAAGCTTGTTACACTAAAGAGAGTTTTGAATGGGTGGAAATTCTTCATGGCCAAAACTCTGTAGAGCTGGGGTGAAGAAAGGAGGGAGGGATATTTCCAAATTCCAACATTCATTCCATTGCTCACTCCAGAACTTTGGAAAGACTGGAGACCAAGGATTGGAGAATCAGGAAGAATGAAATAATCTCCCCATTCCTAAGGGCAGGCAGACTCCACAGACCTGAAAGGGAAGGGCAATGCAGCGGACTTTCAGTCACTAGGGAAGGATCTGTGTGAATAAGAAAATCCTTATCAGTTAAGACAGAGTCTGAGTTGCCTCAGTTTCTGGTACCTATACTAATCAATCATCCAGTAAATGCATTTTGATTGGTTGATCTATGTGTGTGGAGACTATGTGAAGAAGCAATCACAAGTGGGACAAGGACAGGCCTCAACAGAGTTCCTACTCTTGCCTCATAGCTCGCTCACTTCCCAGCTTCTGCGGCCTGCCCTTGAAGAGTGTGAGCTGAGCATTTCTCATGTTTGCTTACCAATGACACCAGTAAATCGGGTTCGGCTATGTAATATTCCCACAGGTCGTTGGCTACCTCACTTCTAAATGAGCCATAACCCCAATCTCCACAGAAAATGCCATCCCCAGATAGGAGGTCTCTCTATAAGAGATTTGCAGGGAAAAGACAGCTACATTCTCTCTCTGTGCCCCACCTTCTGTAATTGGCCTTGCGTTGGGTTCTGGGAGAACGTGGGGAGTAGAGTGACTTCTCCGGGGAGCTCGGAGTGCATCCACTCTACCCTCTTCTCCTACTGTCACCTTTCCCCCCAACTCAGCCCAGGGAGGCAGAGTACAAGCCCTAAGCAACTAGGTGAGGGTTTAGAATGAAGGAAGATTCTGGGGAGAAGCAGGCAGAAGGCCTTGACTGGCCCAAGAACCAGTCTGTTAACCAGACACTGCAGTGAGCTGGCCAGGGTGGATTCTGCAGGCAACTTACCCAGTTCCTTGGGGAGCAGCCAGCCAACTATGCCTCCTCTGCCAGGGCCTGTCAGGGTGGGTGGACTGCAAGATTAACCCACAGAGAGCTGGCAGGAGGGGGTCGGGCGAAAGGGGGAAAAGTGGTGTGGGACTACCACCAGGAAGAGAGGGGCAGAGGTTGATGGGGGGCCAGGCGGAGGCTGCTGGTGTGGGAGCACCGGTTGGAAAGAGGGTTGGAGTGATGCCAGCCAGTGGTGCTGATGAGAGAACGGGAGTGGAAGGGGCATGGGGCGAGATGGGGGCAGGGACAGAGAAGACTATGAACCAGGGCTAGGGGAAGGCACGGGCCTGGGAGTTTGTTGGGCGGAGAGGAAACAACAAGGATAGAGCCCTATGGGAGGGCAGGATTGTGAGGACAGGTCAGGGCTGAAAATGGGGCCGTGGGGCAGGACTTGGGGCATAGAGCAGAATTTGGGGCTGAGCAGGGGCTGGGGATAGGGCAGATGCTTGGAGGTGTTCAGTACTGGGAGAGAGCAGAAGTAGACAGGGGCTGCAGGAAACATCTCAGGAGTTGGGGGTATACATGCTAGTAGGACAAGAAAGGGCCAACGGAAAGGAACGCGGGGAGGGCAGAGGTTAGGAAGGCAAGTCAGAGGCCAGGGACAGGGCCTTGAGGAAGGCAGGGCCGGCCGGCTGCATTGCGGGAGTGGAATCACTGGAAAGACCCAGAAAGAGAAAAGGCGATGGTGCATGAAGACGGGACTCAAGACTTCTGTCACCGCACGGCTCGGACCCCAGCCCCGTCCTCCCAGACATTTTGGCACCTACCGCCACCTGTGAGCTGGAGCAGGAGAAGAAGCGCTTCATGGCGGGGGCCGGGGCCACGGGGGGACGGGGACGCGCGGAGAGCGGGGCTACTGGTTCCCGAACCCACCGGACTAGGCTGCGGCTTTGAGAGAGCTGTCAAAAGCCAAGTGGGACCCGCCCCAGGACCCGCCCCAGGACCCGCCTCAGGACCCGCCCCAGGACCCGCTGGGTTCAATCAGAAACAAGAGCCCGAGAACGGTGCTTAAAACTCCGCCCCTGGCCCTGCCCTAACTCTGACGTTGCAGAAGCAGAAAACCTGCAGTCTTTGGCTGCGACTTGGGCATGGTCTCAAACCTCGCCCTCCCAAACCAAACCCGCCTCCAGCTCCAACCCACTCAGTAGGAGAAGGTACCGCTCGGGCTCAGGCTAAAACCCCTCCTCCAGCCCCGCCCCTCCCCGCAGGTTCAGGCTGCGGCCCCGCCCCAGGCCCCCGCCCCCGCCCCCGCCCCGCCCCTCCAGGCGCCGCTACAGGTGGCGGGATTCGCTGGGTGCGCTGGGGTCTTACCAACTGTCTTATTTAACCGCTGGTGACGACACTTTTATTATATCCAGAGACCTCTGGCCCGCTTAGTTACCTCTGCTTCCTTCCGCCATTCCCGGACCAAAAACCCAAGCACAGAAGAGGCTCTGAAGAGAGCTGTTTGGACACCAGGGGAGATTGTGGTGCAGAGCAGACGACTGAGAACGAATGATGCACGACCCTTCGCAATCTGGGGAAACAAAAATCTGAGGGAAAGGGGGATCGGGCTTAATATTGTAACGCAAACCTCTAAGTTAGAAAATAGCAGAGGGGGAGGAGAGAATTCTTATTTTAAGCAGTCCGCATCTGAGGAACCCCACAAAATTGTCTTCGCTATTTCCACTGCCCTTAAAATTCAGATTCTCAGCAATTCTTGCTTGAACAGTCAGTTGCAGCTAACTGGTCTGCCTGTCTGTCCTTTTGATGCGGGATAGAAGCAGAAAAATGTTCACCTTTAGCCTGAAAGGCTTACCTATAGCCGGCATAGTTTCAATAAGGATCAAATATGTGATGGTGGCTACATTCTTAAAGGGTCTCATGACTGCCTGTAAATCTCACTGATAGTTAATATGGAAATGAATGATAATCACCAAAGAAATCTTGTGAACGTAGAAATTCGAAGAAGACATTTATAATCTAATACTCCCTGCACACCTGCTCCCCCTTGAGCACTAAGCATATAACCACCAGCTTCATGCAGCAAAAGTTCAGCACTTTCTGCCCACTGGTCCTATCTCTGTGCTACTTAAGTAAACTTAGTAAGTTGCACCATACAACATCTCAAGAATTCTTTCTTGACCATCGCTCAATGATCCCACAACATTTTTGGTGGCCCATACAGGGACAATGGAGTGAATTCAAGAGTGTCGATGCAACTTAGTAAATCTTCTTTACCCCCAGTGTTTGTTTATTACCTGTTCTTTTTCTTTTTCAGAGATGTTCTGAATAATATGACCCTTTGGAATGTGTCTTGACCAAGTGCTCAGGACAGGACCTCTTGCACATGGCTACGCAACATGGAGGGATGGACTCTTGCTGCCTGGCTGGACATTATTACCTCGGCCCTAAAGGTATTGGGCTTAGAAATCACTCTCCTATTTTTCCTGTTCTTTTAATGCATATATTATTGTCAGGCATGGGGCGGCCACGTATGTCTTTAAGACAGCCGCCAATCTCAAGACTCCCGTGTAAGGTTTCCCCTAAATAACCAGGTGTGATCCCTTGATGAGCACAAAATCCAAGATAGGTCTGACTGTGTGCTTCCCAAAAGGGACTGGTGGGAACTATTACCTAGTTGGAGCACTCACCCAACAGAAGACTGCTCCCTTGGGACTGGATCATGGATAAAGCTCACAATAAAGTTGCCTGGGGGCATCTGGCTGGCTCAGTTGGTAGAACATGTGGCTCCTGATCTCAAGGTTGTGAGTTCAAGCCTCACTTTGGGCAAGGGGCCTACTTTAAAAAAAAGAAAAAGAAGAAAGAAGAAAAAGAAAGAAGGAAAGAAAGAAAGAAAGAAAGAAAGAAAGAAAGAAAGAAAGAAAGAAAGAAAAGAAAGAAAGTTGCCCAGATTAGATAGGAGTTCTATACTTTTGTTTTTTCATATCTATCATTTTGTCCTTACGCATGGGCTATTTGGTGTTCTCGGTCCTGCTCTCAGATTGAAAGTACTTCTAGCTTAGATATGTGACGCTTAATAAGATATAAAATAGCTACCCCTGGGAATTATATAAGACTGATGAATCACAGGCCTGTACCTCTGAAACCAGTAATACATTATATGTTAATTAATTGAATTTATTTCTTTTAAAGATTTTATTTATTTGTCAGAGAGAGAGCACAAGCAGGGGGAGTGACAGGCAGAGGGAGAAGCAAGCTCCCCGCTGAGCAAGGAGCCTGATGCAGGACTTGATCCCAGGGTCCTGGGATCATGATCTGAGCCAAAAGCAGACACTTAACCGACTCAGCCACCCAGGCTTCCCAATTAATTGAATTTAAATTTAAAAATGTTTAAAAAAATAGCTGCCCCTTCTTAACAAAGGCCAGGACCTCTACCCTATCCATGAATGCTAGATCTAGAGGCTTACAAAGGGTAGTGTTATTGGTTGTCCCCCAAAATGGAAAGAGGCAGCTCCCATCTCTGCAGCGTTTCAGTCCGTTCACCAGCACCCGCTGTAGTCTGCAATGGGGAAGCAAAGGGAGGTCGACATCCCTTGTAGTAGTACAAAGGTGTCAGAGCAGTCAAGAAAAAGGGACACTTCCCCCCACTCTGAACCCCAGGAACCTTCAGCAATATTCCTGACAGGTCACTATTCGGAAGCCAAGGGGGATTTTGGTAATGGACTCCCAGTTAGTTAATGTATTCTCCTCATTCGTTTTGTAGGAATTGACTATGGGTTCAACTTCTTCAATCCCAAAGGATTCCCCTATGGGCTGTCTCCTAACACATTAGAGTCAATTTGGACAACAGGATTGAAAGAAGCACCTTAACTTCTTCTATGATAATGCCTGGCCTCAATATTCTCTGGAGAATGATGAAAAATGGCCCATTTATGGGTCCTTAAACTTCAGTACTATTTATTAGTTAGACCTTTTTTGTAGGTGTCAGGGAAGTTGGACTGAAATCCCATATGGTCAGGCCTTTCGGGCCCTGTACCAAAATCCTGATCTATTCCATACACCTTTAGAGGGCCTGAGGACACCTCTCCCCTCACCCTCTATCCCTCAATCCACCATCAGCTCAGCTGCCTTGGGCCCTCCTACTTCTATTAATCCACCATTTGACTGTGTTCTGTCATGTTCTCTATGTGCTCCCCTTTGTCTCTCTTGTAAACAGGTTACTGCCAAGATCAGGTACATGCCTCCCTCTTTTTCCTGAGTTACCTGTCTCCTATTTGTTTGCTTTTTCTTTTGTGTGTCAGAAATATATCTTGAGACTACTAGATGAATGTTGCCTGGCTCTTGTTGCATGGTGGGGGAGGGGAGGGTTTCTCCCTCATTCGCTTCTGGGTTAATGGCTATAATTGGAGCCAATTGTCTGTGGTTAGTCTACGTTGTGTTGCGGACCTTGAGGAATATTCCCAAGCAGCTGCCAAAACTCCTTTTGTTTCGAGGAGGTTCCCTGTCTTCTCCGGCCCAACATGGACTGCCTATTTTCACTTTCTGTTGGTGGAAAGAAAACACGTGTCTGTTCATCTGTCTGAGCTGTTAAACTCTAGGACCCTGAGTCCTCTTTGCTTTCTGGGCTTTTATCTGCCTTCAGCCTTGATGGCCACACCTCACCTCCTCCCCTTCCTCCGGTCTCTGTAGCACCAGGGGCCGGCTGGCGTGACTGACTCCTCTGCGTCTCCAGCGCGCACCGTTGGCTCCTTCTACCCTTGTTACCAAGGAGTGACAAGCACCCCTCCCTGGACTTAAACCACCCACTTGAGATTTCCCCACAGGTGCCCCCAGCTAAAAATTGACAGTGACTTTTAAGTCGAAAAAAAGTGAAAAGTCCCAGCAACTTTTTAAACAAATTGACTGACTTATAGGTTGACTTGTGTGCAACATATTCATATTCATATTTAAGCTAATGTAAGTTCGTTAGTTTAATTAAGGTAGACATGTCTTTGGAGTCATCAGCATTAAATATAAAACTTTTATTCTACCAATGATTGCTAAAGGTCGAATAAGCTCATGTCATTTCTGTTGCAATTTGTCCCCAAAAGATGGGTTAAAATGACAGTTAATTTTGTCTGTCTCATAAAGTTCTCATGGTTAATTGTTAAAATAGCTTTCAAAATCTTTCCAGCTGAAATTGTGAAGTTTTGCTAAGTTAACTGATAAATTGCATTGAATTCATTGGATATCTAAATCTTTTCCAAATAAGATAAAATACTAAAGCATTGATTACTGAACATAGGTTTACCAGCTTTGGCTTCTTATCACACAGAAACTGAGGATAACTGAGTCTCTTTGTAAACGTGCTTTATGCTTTATTGAAAGATTCTACTATGGAAAAGCATGTTTTTAGAAACTATGAAATGTATTCATGGATTTCAGATCTAAAGAATTTTGGTATAGCAGACAGTGCACAGTTGGTTACTACTTAGTTTTCACTGGAGACTAAGGTTTCTAAGAGTTAAAATTCTCCTAAATGTAATTAGGACTGATGGAAATAAGCAACTCTGCATGTGGGAAAATAGGAAATACATGAGAAAGATATAAGGAATGGAAATACATTTTGTTGAGGGAAAAAGAAGGTAATTTTGTCCTAAAATGAGACTGGTTGTTTAGAGAGAAAAGGCTTAGGACAAAATCTGGATGAAAAAGAAAGTCGTAGACAGTTTATAAAGGGAGATCTTTGGGAAAGATTTTTTTTTTTTTTTTACTTTTATCCATGTTCTTTTTAAATTTCTAATATTATCCTTTGACATGATGTTTTCTTGCAACCAGGTAATAATTCCATGCAGCATTTCTTAAAATAATACAAATTATTGCT